GTGCTCTAGTTCCATGATACCATATAGTTAGCTGCTGCCAGAGAATAGTTGTTAGTCTTCTGTTGCAGCAAAAAGATACCAGATAAAAGTTTTGTGGAACTGTAATGCTAATACAGGTATTATGGTGTATGCTTTTTAAAATTTTCATTCATTTCCTCAGAAGCATGAATACGAGAAGTACATATATGTAAAATTTGGTGGGGGAATAATAATGTAAGGAAATGAATATAGGAGGTAGAGACAAGGTAATTACATACTGATAGTAGCCATTCAGAGAATGCTAGTTGAGTGTGATGCAGTTATTTTTACATTGCCAAAGCTTGCAGCAAAGATGGTGCACAATGTGTAATCTATGAAAGCAAATTTTTCAGTATTACTAAACCAGTACTGCTAACATTCTGCATTTCTGTTTATTGTCCTAATACCAAAAGATTATTCTGGCAACTTACCAATAAAAGTAAAAGGAATATACTCCGTTGTCCTCTTAGTTTCTTCGGTGAGGACTAGTTTTGTAAATACACTCCCATAATATTTTTGCAATATACATTCATCTTATTTCCAATTACCATAGGAAGAAGCAAAGTAGTACTGAGATTTATAAAGAACAGCTATTAAACTGCTTGATGAACCCATTAGTGAGAAAACTACTAAAGCTGGAACTATGAAGGGGTGCCATTCAACTAATCAGTCTACGTATGTGAAGTACAAACACAGGATGAACTATGCTTGATCTAAGTGAGTTGCAGAGCACAGTAGAGAAGTTCTGAATTGGTAGAGTAGGTTTCAGCCATTCAGAACGCAGAGGGAAATATAACATTTTAAAAAGAACTTTTAAATGTTTTAAAAAACCCTTCTTATACCTCTATTCATGTTTTCTTTGATTTAGACAGTTTTGTAATTGAGATATAGTTGTACTGAATGTATAAATGAGTGAATTATTTTTTTATTTTTGTATATTTTATATATTTTGGACTTGCAAACTTGTATTTTTCTATATTTATAATAAAAAGCTTCTTGCATGTGGAAAAAATAATCTAGAGAGGAGCAGGTTAGACTATAGTCTTACCTAGGGTAGGAGATGGATTTTTTTCCTGCTTTTTGTTACAGAGATCATTGTGTTCTTCAGTAGAAAGGTGTCTGTGTGAGAAGGCGGGCAGTGGGGGTTGTGTCACATGTTGCCCATAGAGCTGCAAAAAAGTATGGCTCACATAACCATGGAGAGCCTTGCCTGCTGTTTCTGCTAGCCTGACTATCGCTCTTATCAGCTGACTTTGGGAGAATAGATTTGTTATTTGCCCATTGTCATTAGTTGTATGAAATTAATTACTTGTTCTCCAGCCAGAGATTGCCCTGCTGCTAGTTATTTGTTTTTCAATCAGCATTTTGCAACAGAGTCATTGGAAGGAAGGAGTAAATATCCCCTCTTCACATGCATACATGAGCTCATTGTATGCACATAACCTTCACCCACACCCCATAATGACCATTGTTTAGAGGAAATATGAAGCATTTTTTTTTCATGAAGGTAGGCACAACAGAATTTGAAGGAGCTCCAGAGAAGGTGCCCTTGCTTCTAGCCCTTGCCACTATCTCAGTCTGAGATTCCATGTTGCTGCAGTGACGACAAATATCCTAAAACAGTCTTCTTCACTGGCAGTATTTTAATAAGAAAACACATGTTGGTTGACATCTCTTGCTACTGCTAGTATGAATGGATTTGGAAAAGCCTGTCAGTGTTTGTAGTAACATGAGATCTCTTGAGACAAGTTTCCTTGTTGACAGCACTTACTGGAATGGCTACATGAGCATAGGACATCTCAAGCTCTGTATTTCACTTGGAAGTAAGTTCTTTTAAACTCATGGGACTTACTTTTGAATAGGCAAGATTAGAATTGCTATTCGGTGGCCCGTAAAGTTAATTCTGAGTCTTATTTTCCATAAACAACAGCCTAAAAGAAGCATTAAACAGCCCTAATCTAGGAATTATGATGGAAAAAAAAAACACCCCCACCAACACTGATACGACAAGCTACTGTATATAAACAGAGAGCAAACCCCACTCCCTTCTAGCACTGAAGATGTTA